TATAACATATAGAAAATAACTTTTGTCTGATTTCCACTAAGTTTTTTATTTGTTACGACCGGTTTCGAAACTTTTTTATGTTCAGAGATTTTTGTTTTAAAATTTCTTGAACTCCTTACTACATACACTTTCGGGCATGATCCGCATGTCAGTTTGTAGACATCTGATCTGTTATCCGTAACTATCTGTGACTTGTTGTTCTTTATATGTATACCCAAGGAGTTACCAGTTTTATATGCTCTGTTTATTTATTTAGTAATCTTATTTTATCTGATGTTTTTCCGGTATATGTAAGTGTTTTGAAGGTGCCAGTGTTATATTTTATGTGAGAGTATACTTGGTTAATGGCTTGTTTGAAATGAAATATAATTCATCACATTCTTGATAAAAAAACGTTTACTATTTGAACAAAATAATAACATAGCATATGGGACATCTCCTTAGGTAGACATATAAACAATTCGTAGACATGCAAGGATAACATGCGGATCATGTCCAAAAGTGTTTGTAGGAAGGAAGGAAATTTTAAAACGAGAATCTACGAACATGAAAGAAGTTTTGAAGTGAAGAAGAACTAGTCCACCTATGCATGTCACCTTTTGGAGAATGATAACGATTTCAACACTATGTACGACAAACTCAATGTAGAAGCTAAGAGACAGAAATTGAAGCTGCTAGCTCTGGTAATGAATAAGGAGCTACGTTTGGGGTGGCCTGCTGAACGAATAATAGGAAGTGGACCACTCTCTCTCTCTCTCTCTCTCTCTCTCTCTCTCTCTCTCTCTCATTCTAAACAATTTACACCTGAATATATAATATAATATAATAATATAAGAACATAGGCTTTCACGGCCGGGATCACGCGTTAGGCCCTGGTCAAATGGAACCTGTGGTATCGAACATTCCATCCATTACTGCGACAGACATAAGTGGTATGTGCGTTGACTGCGAGGACAAAGTCTCAGCAACGGCTGAGTGGCGAGCTCCGTGTTCATTCGTATTGATAATTTTAGAGGGCGATGTGAATGAGGATGAGGGGTGACGGTGGGGATGGTGGAAGGAGAGGGGGTGGTAGGAGATGGGAGGTGTGTCCCTGCGAATGCACATTTCTGATAGATCCGCACTTTTGCTGAGTTGTTCTGATTGGTCCATTTTGTTGACAGGTACTCTGCTGGTGGGATGTCGATGGGAGTTGTTTTTTAGTTCATTTCTGGCTTTCTTGAATACTGGATACCACATTTTGTTGACATATATCCCTTTTCTTTTGAAATTGTTAGGATGCTTATAGATCTTAATGACCTTCCTATGAAGTCGTGTATGGTAATGCGATGAGTTAGACAGGACAGCAGTTTCTTCATATTTTATTTCAGATATAAACTGAGCTACAGAAATAGGGAATCCTGTGAACACCGGAAGTTCTTTTTCAAGGAAATGAGGCTTGCAAATTCTGGTGGTAAAATCAACAAGGTTCATCTAGACCAAGCTCTACCGGTCAATGGATTTACAGGGCAAGAAATCAAATGTGATCTACATCCCAGAAAAATAAATACCTCAACTTCGACCACGGAGCTGTTTCAACGTTACAAGATAAAGACCATATACAAGCCAACTAATCAACTACGCAACACTATCAGATCGGCCAATGACAAAAGTGAGTTTCTGACATCCGTCGGTGTTCACAGGAGTTTCTGTTCCTAAGGCTCAGTTTATATCGGAACTACCAAACGCAGCATTAACACCGGGATACAGCAACACAAGTGCCGCCTTATGCAACCGAAAGAATCCGCAACTGCAGAACGTGTCCTAACAGAAACAGATCACTTAATGAAATACGAAGAAACTGCTTTTCTGTATAATTCAACACAATACCACGCACGACTTAATAGGGAGGCCATTGAGATCTGTGAGCATCCCAACAATTTCAACAGAAAAGAAGAAGGTATATGGGTTAACAGGACGTGGTATTCAGTATTCAAAAGGACCAGAGATGGACTAGAAATAAGTCTGATCGACATGCTACCAGCAGCATACCTGTTAACAACGTGGACCAATGAAAACAGCCCAGCAAAAATGTGGACCAATCAGGATTGAGCATTCCCATTGACCCCCCCCCGCTCTAATCGCCATTCCCACCATCACCTCCACCACCCTCCCAATTTATAAATGCGAGTGAATACGGAACTTGCCAGTGAGTCATTGCTGAAACTTCGAACTATCTACCTTAGTCCTCACACTTACCACTGATAATATTTGCCGCAGTGGCAGACAAAAATTTTTGTATCACAAATTCTATTCGACTACGGTCTGCCAACCCGAATTTTGTTTTCACCAATCGTGACTGAACCAATTCAACAAGGAAGAAGAAAATGGCAAGAGTATGTTTCTTATGGGTTACAATGCATTAAGGAATACGAAGCATTGAAGAAGTCGATAAATCAGCCAAGGAAGCAATAACTAGCATAAACTCCGAAGGTGTAACTGAAGCGATGACATGCGATGTGGAAAATTCAGTCAAAGAGATCATTCTTGCCACATGACAAAACCGTTACCAAGAGTCAACATCAAATCTGAAAGAAGTGAAAACTCACGTGAAACCATGGGGTATGTCACCCAAAACTTCGAAGAAACCAAGTGATCCCTCTAGGAATCCCTCTACGATTAGGCCACACTTCCAATCCACAAATATTCATTCGAAAACAAAAACGGTCCAACATATATGTCATATATGTAACGTGAATCTCACAGTGAAGCATATCTTTATTGAATGTCCACTTTACAACCAGCAGAGAAACGACCACGAAATCCTTTTGTGTTTGGAGAAAATACTAGGACCTAACTGTATCTTTAATAATTTACTACTAGTAGATTACTTACTGGTAGACTGTAACCTAATTGAATTGTTACTTGCACTGTAGCGCTAATAACTAATTTGGTTGATGTCTTAATTTTTTAATAAGAAAACGGACGCAGAAGCCTGTGTTCTTATATTGAATACAGGCAGTTTATAATATTTATATCACCGAGTTATCTCCGGCAAAACTGACGACACACTGGGTTGGCCATTGCTGTCATTTACGCTTACCTTGAAAGCGAGGTGAGCTTGAGGCTCCGTGAAAGAGAACAGAACCGCCCTGTGTATTGTCGGCCCACCGTTCCAACCCAATACTCCTTTTATATAAGACCCACCGAATCTACGTCAAGCTAACCATCCGTCTGAGATCAATTAGACTAAATGCGACTCTTCCGTTTCGGTGTGAAATTTAATTACAACAATTTGACCATTTCGTATATATCATCTTTGTTATTTCTCTAAAGTACATTAACTTTTTTTTTTATTCCACCACACATGCAAACGACTCAGGAGAAGTTCTCTAACATGCAGAGACAGGCTTGCCTATCTATCTCCGGTGTCATCTGCACCACACCCTCTACGGCCATGAATATCTTTTCAGAGAGGGGGGTTAGTTCGATAACATACAGAATTGTGCATATTGCCAATTTGCTCATGCGGATTGTAGCAGGTTATTGAATGTCACAGGATTCTGGTAATTACTTGTTACTTACGGCCACCAACAGGCAACTACTCCCGAATAGAGAGGACTGGATCTTCTTTTAGGAGGAAATACTAAGAGCCGATATATTTTGGTTCACAGATGAATGAAAACACCTTCAAGTGTTGGTGAAGTTGTATACAGTCGCAGACCCATGACAGAGATATCAGCATGCCTAGAGAACCCATGCGACCGTATTTCAGGTGGAAATATACACTATTGATTTATGTGTAAGGATATTGGCAGAAACCAACCTCACACATAAATAAATGAAAATTTTCTCGGACAGTTGAGGTGCTCTAGAAGTACTTGGCTTTCACGAAGGAACGCCCAAGTTGATTCTATTGAAAACTGTTCCCACACCAGAATAAAAATACTGTCTCATGATGCACGTTTCACTAACCAAGTTAGCATCATCAGAAGATGACTGAATATGGTTAGCACTGCTTTATTTTTCCCAAATACCTGATACCTGGACTGTAAAAAGAGTTTCAGACATCTGCCAAAATCTACCAGAATTCTAAGGTATTTATAGATTTTTCGAAGGATATTACCAAACAATGGCTATATCACAATAGGGATGACCTATTTTATCTAACAGATCTATTTAGAGTCACTGTTATTTGAATCATCATATGACGAAACTGAGACTATCTGAAGATAGTCGGTGGAAGATGATGAAACAGCCAAGCATTTACTTTATTTCTATCCCGCTGCGGGCCGAATCAGGTTTTCAGTGTTTATCAGAGTTTCACTCTCACCAACTGAATTAAAAGAAAATTCACTAAACAAACGATTTGCTTTGTTAAGAAGCTTATCGGTCGAGTTTGAATTTTTGTGACCTAAATTAAACTCTCGCGGGTTGTAGTGGAGGGCTGAATCAACCTACTGAACTAATCTAACCCCTATTGCAAGGTTTTCACTTCAGCTCTTCACTTCGTCGTTCAATCATATGCGTGGCCCTATTCAATGACCTCATCTGCTCCTCACATTGTAAACATTTTGCACTACCTAATACACCGATAAACGATTTCGTTTAGAATATGACAATATTTACAAACGTTTTGATTCCGAAAAGTAAGGAACAGCTAGCTATCAGATCTCCTGATATTACCCCTCTTGACTTGATTTATGTGGAGGTTTTTGAAGAATGAGTTTATTATGAGAATATATTAACATTCATTCGAATAGAGTTGATATTCGTTTCTCTTCACTTTTCATAACGCCCTTGTTTTTCATTTTCCAAAAATTATATTGTGTATTTATTATGAGATAACCAGGAAAAAAGGATTTCTTTCAAACGTGTTGTTCCTTATTATTTCTATTCAGTGCAGAAAGTGAAATGTTCACATTATAGCGTTATTTTATAAACAATATGGTAATTGTTTATGCTTGATAAGTTGATTTAGGATCCGAAAAGAGATTGTGTGAAATTTGATATGTACCTACCAGTACTATTGTCTTTCAAAATAGGATCTGAAGGTTTTTTCTGATTCAACTATTCCATCTTTCTCGAATTTCATCTTCTTGGTCTTTTTATCAGATAGAAGCGATTTCATGTGAATCTAAAAACAAATTATACACTACCCAATGGAAATGTGTAGAGTTATGGAATAACAAATAATATTTCTGATTCACACCTTATCATGACATTTGAAACAACAAAGATTGATTTGAGTTAATGATTGACTTATTAGTAAATAGTCAAATTCACCATATGACTCATTGCACATTCCTCTTCAAATTATTATTGTCGTAAAATTTTTTCGAAAAGACGGCCAAAATCTTATCGGGATCTTTTCGTCCACTTCACAATATGCGCAGATAGTTGATGATTGCACTCATAAGAAACACTTCCGAAAATTATTAGCAACAAAAATTCTAACATGGCGAATCGGACTGCACACTGTTGAGACGACAATGAGAGGCGGAAATGAACGAGAACTTCTCTGTTGGGTTTGACCAATAGCACCACTTATCCAGGTCCGGAGAATTGTTATTCATTTCATGCAATGAACTATTGGAAGATAGATTATTGAAAATCATATACAAGAATTCTACAATCAATAAAAAAGATTATTGACGACATTGTATTAAAAAAGATTTCAGATATAAATAACCGTTATTGCCTTTTAAATTTTAATAAAATGCTATTAGATGGTGCTACTGAACTATGGCATCACCATATTCATAAAATTCGCGTTTTATAACTTTAAAGTCAGCGGCAGCTTGGAAATTCACAGCTTAGTTACCGAATGTTTCTGCGAGCAGCATATACGGCAATGAAAAATCCTTTCTTGGCTAATCTGTTCATTAGCAGATTAAAAATGGAAGTAAGGAAAGAGTTAGATTACTTCCCACGGACTTAGATCCGATATGTGGATATGTATTCTCCATTTTCAACACAAATAGTATACACGATTTTGTGTTTTCTATCAACAACAGATCCCTAAATATACAGTACACTAATGAAATTGAAAATAACAAATAGCTATTATTTCTGGATGTTCTAGTCTTGAGAATCGTAGATAAGGGTTAAGCACATTCAGATATATTCCAAAAATGTCTGGACTATATTTTCTTGATGGACTGGCCACGTTCCCCTTAAGCCAAGTCGAGAAAAAAACATCAAGAAAATGGATGAAAGTAACCTTGCGTTTCCTTCAAACATAGTCGATAACTTAGTCGCGAAACAAAAATTTAGACTTGTCCGCGTTAATCTTCAACTTTTAGCGAAGACGAAAACGCTCAAATTTATAGTTTTTCCATATGTACCAAAATAAACTAATGAATTGATCCAATTTCCGAAAAAATATACATACATGAAAGTGGCTTTCAGAACTGACAACGATTCTGAGACGAAATGTGAATATATTCGGAAACTACTAAGTTTTGTCATTTTAATATGAACCGAAACCCACAAAAGTTAAAAAATATGTTTTCCGTTAACCAGTCGTCGCCCCCCTACGAACGACAACCCTCAAAAGTAGAAACTTGTGCTAGGTAAGGATTAACGGGGTCTCATCTTTCAACATGCGATTCTTAGCAAAGAAGCAATTCCAAAAAAATATGCACTTATTTTTTCAAGTTTATAGGTATATATCGTCACCTTTCCTTTAGAGGACCGAACACAATTTAACTACCTAAAACTTTGTAATAGCAACTATAACACATCACATCACAATGATGACTCATTACCCATTTTCTAGTTATTTATCGTCTACGGACTTTTTTCTTTCCCTTTCTCAAACACAAATTGCATGGACAGTGATTTTTATCACTCCAAGGAACTGTTAAGCCTTTAAAAACAGTGTTTTCAATAGTTGAAATTTTTCGAGAATTTCGACTATTCGATAATTGGTTTGAATGCATACAAGAGTGTATTAATCTCAACGGCGAACATTTTGAAAGGCAGCAAAAGAGCTTGTTTGGATTTTTGTTGTACTTGAATGTTTACTTTGAATGATGTCAAGTTCTGAGTATGAATCATGACTTCATTTCTATTGATTCTTTCTTGAAATTATTTCTGTGGTTCTGAATTTGTATCGCCTCCCTATATAATTTTGGATAGAAAATTTGAATTCTATTGAGCACTTAGGTCTCTTCCAACGCGATAACTTTAGTGCCTTCTCGAAGTGCATGTTTCGCTACTGCTGATTTGCCAATATGCCCCAGGCGACAATTTCTCTTGGGTTCAGAGAGTCCTGTACTTACACTTCTCTTTGTAGTTCCAATGTAGAACTCACCCGATCTGGCCCGTATCTTTCTTCACATAGTATACGAACGTTGACAAACTTATTTGAAGATACTTTAGCAACTTTCATGATTTGATGTTACATGGAGGACAGTTGATGTCGTTTAGTTGACGTCTATTTCTTTTTTAGACTCCGGGTCGGATTCTTTGGTCACTTGTTGATCAGTAAGGAGTTCAGAAGAGACCTGCATTACTCTGACAAAGTTTCTTCGGAGACCCTGAGTGAAATCAGACTCATATCCTTTTTAGGAGGACTCTCACCTCTACGAGTGAGGTGAATTTCAACACTTCAAGTTGTAGGGCCGAAAAAATGATGATACAAAAAATAATACATTTCGGGAAACAAAAACCTGTAATTGAATTTCGCAGCCTACAGACTTGTTTTCTGTTTGATCTATCAACTAGGCGTTGAGAAAAAATTAAAATAAAGATGAAGTTTTGTATTTTTTCTATACTTAGTTATCGAATTACTAAATAGGAATTTATGCATACTAGAAATGGATAAACGATTATTCAGTATTTGTTTCGCAATAACAAAAAACAAAATCATTTTTGCTCGATTATTATTGTTACAATTTTATTGGAAACATTTTTATTTCACTTCCCAATTAAAGTCTTACACTATTTCACCCGTTTAATTGATAATGGCTTGCACTGTATTTCTTTTTGGGCCAACATTTACTCTCGTTTATAGTTTTTGACTTCATATAAAGATTTTTGTTTAATTCTTTGAAAATACTGTTATGATAATATGAAATATTTACTCAATCAACACTGTTGATTGCAGACACAGCAGGGTGCAAAGTCCCAAAAACACTTGTGTACTTGAACCATTTATTTTAGCATTTCCCTTCACTGGTTGAAAATCTTTCATTTGGAGAACACGTCTATGTGGAATAAACTCCCTGATAACGTTTTTTCAAATGGATTCAGTCTCCAGCGATTCAAATCCACTGTGAATCACTATTTTCGCACAGGCACCGCTCTGAGAGAGCCTTGAAGATTTTCCTGTAGTGCTTGTGTTTTGTCCTAAAAAAACTGTGTGGCAGTACTTTGTTGTATAGTTTCAAATTTTTTTGTGAAAATATTTGTGTGTACTATTTGTATCAGGCATTTAGAATTCTCTGATCTGTCAATTATCTATTAATGGATATCATTAACTTATCCGTGTTATGAATCGCACGGTGCAAGGCAAGACCTCATTAATCCTCAGCTTATAAAAATGTCGACTTCTGAGTGTAGTTGTTCGTAGAGAGGCAACATCTGGTTTAGGGGGAAAGCTGTCTCTTTGTTTGCAGATGTTCTAACTCTAATGTACTTCAATCCGTATAGAGTATTTATCTGCTGGTTTTATTATCCAGGTTTGAATTGTCATTTCGGTATATCTTCAAAAACTATAATTTGGAGTTAGAAGAAAAGTAATGTGGTATGAATTTTTAGGTTAAGTTTCAGGTAAGGGCATTTGTAATACTCACTCCCTTCCGAGTTGGTATCTCAACATTAACACATTCTTTTCAAGTTATTGGTTATGTTCATTGTAAAAGCTCAACCATTATTTATGGACGGCCTTAGGCTTACTTCTAGGTCACAACTGAATTCAATGTATTTATCTTCTTGATAGCTGAATAAGGTCCCCAACGTGGGTCTCTTCAGTTTGGACCTCCTTTCAAACTCTTTGTGGTGCCTTCTTACCAAACCCTAGTTTCATCCTGTTTGTCTTCTTCTTTGTTTTCTTTGTAATTCCTTTTTTTATTTGTGTTGTCATTCACTTTGTGTTACTGTTCTTCCTGCCTACACACTTGCAATGACTCATCTTACATGGGATTCAACATTTACTCTGGTTCATTTGTCTGTGTTGTTTTAAATTTCGTCATCTGATCTAATGCTTTTCATTGTATGGTTGAACGAAAATATTCAATCACTTATCCCACTATCAGAACCCTTTCACAGTAATATTCAGCACAACAAATTTAAATGATTTTATTTTTTATGACTGGGATTTATTCAAAAGAGCGTATCAATGTCTATTCGTAGTGTTACATGACATGAGTAGATTCAACTCTTCCATGACATAAAGTTATTATGTTATGAAAGAAATGAGTGCTTGATCCTGTTATGTTATCGAAATTACATGCTCTACAAAGGGTCATGTTATAAAACTGTGATTCATATCACAGAACAGTTTGATTATTCAGTAAAAATGTGTAAAAGTGTTTCTGATAATTGACAACCAAATAATTTTTGAACCCAAGAATATGTTGTATATGATTTCTAGTATAATTTTGAACGCAATATATCGGATAACTCATACTAAATAAACAAATAGTACAAATTTTATAGCGATGTCTGAAAACTAAAAGATTTTATATCGATTGTGTCTTTTCACTGGTTCATGAAATATTTGTATATTTAGGAAAGCAATGTGATAGAATAATTTAAAAATTAATTTAAGATGTATGATGGTCTATACTAGGTTTGTAAATATAATTTAAGTTGTATGGTTTTATATACTATGTGAGTTTTAAATGGTCATTCCTCATTTCAGAATATCAGTTGGAAAATAAATCTCTTGTATATAGTTGCTATGTACTAGTTTCAGTTTTCTTTTCAACATTTATAATCCATTATTTCAGAAACCTCAAATTGAAATATTGCAAGAATTGTTTGTAACCATAGATGAAATTGGTGAACCACTGCCACTCCAATGTATCACTTGAATAAAACGTACATTTTATTTCAAATACTGATATAATGCATTATTCTTTGATAATTTCAAATCAGCTCCAACATCTTGTGAACTAAATAGAAGCAATGGCATCTTCCCTCATGGGACGCCCTCTCGTGTTTCAACCTAGCACCAGTGAAAATAACTTAGCCGGTCGATACAGCACTGTCTGGTGCTGGATCACCTTGGGGATCCTCGTTTATCTTTGATAATCATGGAATGAGTCTTCTGTCGATCCCAAAGATGGCACCTTCATAAGGGGAGATGTCATCACCTCTGCTCACTTGGCTTGTCTTTTAAGGACAGTTGAGTCCAGCAGTGTATTCGTGTTTCATCTCAGCACCACTGATGAGACCTTGAAGGGTTGGAACAGCGCTGTCTGGTGTTGGATCAAGTTTGCTTTGTTTTTGTGCTCTGATTTCATCTAATGAGCTATTTGAATACCATTCAATAC